TAAAAATATAATAAAAATAAGTATGGGATATAAAAAATAGAAACAGAAAAATCTGATCTTAAAAAATGTGAACTCTTTTAGTTGTTTTTGGATTTCAAATATAAGTATATTTCTTTTCTGTGGGAAGTTTTGTTAGAAAATGTAAGTGATACAATCAACAAGCATATGATATTTATCAAATTAATAAAACCAAGGAGTTTATAAATCATAAAATTTTGAGGACAGTTTCTCAACTATAAGTAACTTTGTTTTATTTGTAAATACATTATTTCAAAAATATTATACAAAAAGAAAATGAGAAAGAACATACAATGTTTGAAGATCATATCAAACTAATAATGTATTTGGATTATCAGTCTGTGTTGTATAAATTTTTGTTTATTTCATATCCTTTTTTTGCTGTCATATATATGTATATTTGAAATTTTTATTTAGTATCTTCATTTCTTGTTGTCATGTATGTTTGCAATCTTTAATAAAAAAAACTATGAGCCAAAACAAGCCTTTTCTCCTCATAAGTTGATTCTCTTAATGGGAAGCTGGACATCTCAGCTTCATCTCTGAATAATATAGACAGCAACACTCTGTCTATATTACCAGATTGAAGGAGGACCAAGCCTCCAACATATGCATCGTTGGAGGACAAACCACATCCAAACTGTAGCACCATGGAATCATTTGCAAGACATAAGAGGTTGTGAACAAGTGTGGTCAGAAACTCAGAGGTTTCTCCATTCACCTGCCTCTGAGGGTTAAAATAGGCTGTACAAAGATGTTACAACATCAGCCAACATTTCTGCGCCCTCTCACCTTCATGTGTGCACACATAGCTCTGTGCCTTTGGCAACAGATGGCTATCCTTCTTTCTCCCCTTATCTAGATTTAGAAACCTCCTCAGTCTTTGAAGACTGTTCAAGAATCATCCCTACAACTTCTTGCAGTCTTCTCCGACTCCTAAAAGGCAGTTAACACCCCCCCGCCTACTTTTGTGCTTTCATAATTTTACTTCTTCATACTGGATTACATGATTGAGTATAATTTTTCTCATTTACCTCAGTAATTAAGATGAATTTTTCTTGTGAACATGGCCCGGATCTTTCATCTATATGTGTATGCCATGTACACAGGTTTGAAAAAAAAAAATCCAGGAAAATAACTGTATCAATAGTGAGCTTCCAACTCATATGTTCCCAACAAATATGACCCTAAATCCAGAGGCTCCACCAATATCTTCTTAGGCTTCAGTAAAGCTTTGAAATAGAATGTATTTCGCAAAAGAGTCAACAATTCAAAGCTGAATAGCACCAGTAAAAATAAGACATCAGCTGACTCAAGTTTTTCTTCCTCCACTGACAGTACAAGTCCCACCCAGACAGTACAAGTTGCAATGTACCAAAAGGTTAAAAACTGTGTATGACAGCCATCCATTACTCAAATGTTTGGATGATTTGTCCCTTGAAACATATAAAAATATAAGGTCTATTTAGAGTTTTAATGAGCAATAGTCTTAAAAATCTAGAGTAGTTTCTACAAATACATCAAAGTTAACTTGGCTTAATGCTTTCCTAAACACTGAAAAAGGAATATTTCACAGAATTAAAGTTTCCCTCACAAAGCATGGGGATGCATGCCAGTAATCCAGCTACTCAATAGGCTGAGATGGGAGGACTGCAAGTTTGGGGCTAGCCTTGGCCATCTAAGAAAAGGAAAACGGCTGAGACTATAGCTTAGTGGTAGAGCATGTGAAGTGGCAGAGCATGTAAAGACTCTGAGTTCAATCTTCAGCCCTGCAAAATTTAGTTTTCCCTTACATGAAATAAATTATACTTTATTATAAACCAGTGCTAGAATCATGAGTAGGTTGCTTGTGCTACAACTAGTGGTATCAGCCCAGGGTTGGTGTCATCCCAGCATGGTTGTTCATTATTCAACTTTTCTCTCGAACTTTAAGAGTAAAATAAATTGGAAAAACAATTACCTTTAACTGTATCTTTCACTAATTACCAAATCCAAGTATAAATCACTTCATTTATATTATATTGAAACTAGAATGAATATTACAGAACAAGTAACCCAACTTTCACCAATTAAATTAGAAAATAGGGTTTTGGGACAGTGAAAAGACTTTCTTTTTCAGTGATGCATATTTAGATAATAGCAAAACCAAATCTGCTCCTTACTCTGAATCAGTACACTTTGCTCTATGATGAATGCCTGTGTTGATGAGATTTTTGTAAACTGAATTCTCTTTCCAATGAGATATATAAGTTACTATTTAACTCTCAGTTGAGCTTTCCATTAAAAGCTGATTTGTTCTGTAATGCATATTTGCTGCCCTAATTTATTTTATATGGATTCTAAGTATCTTTAAGCATTGAGACATACCATGCTCCTCTTGCTGCTTGGAGAAAAGAAATTAAATGATGGGAGCCTATGTGGGTGAGGGGGTGAGAGTCAGTGGAGAGCCCTGACAGGCAAGTATGAGAGCATTTTTGCAAGTCTCACCATCCTCTTAGAACAGAAAATCCTTGCTGCTTTCTATGGGTTGGGTGCTAACAGCTCCACAGCTACACAATTCCACTCTTTAGAACATTCCTTTCAGGCAGCATTATAATTAGACATAAGAATCTATTTACAATGTTAACAGAGTATGAAAAACTATATAACAGCATATAATAACTGCAGGATTCTCTACATTCCAGTAGATTAAAAAATTCATGCCTATTAAAAAAAAAAAAGAACTTGCTTCTTAGCCACTCTGATATTACGCATGAATGTTCTTATCCTGGAGGATAAGAATTTCCTGTGTATTAAAAGATTCACAAATGTGGAGGTGGAGATGTGATTCAGTGATACAGTGCTTGCCCAGCATGCATGAAACCCTGGGTTTAATCCCCAGCACACACACACACACACACACACACACACACACACACGCACGCAGATTCATAAAACTAATCAGTGTGACTACTGATAGTAAAACATATAAAACAATGATAGAAATAATTTTAGAACATTACATCTATATGTTTTGGTAAACATTATGCATACTTTTAAGAATAGGGCAAAATTAGTAGCAATATCAAATTCTCAACAAACATTGTTTGATTACTTATAAAATGCTAATTTGTTTTAGAATCATAAAAATTTCTGAAAGACTGGTTTTACAAAGATTCTAGAGTCAACTATTCATCAATCACTGAGGTGATGAGAATATGTAAGAAACGCAAATAAGTGGGCTAAAGACTTTCATTCATAAATGCTGTGAGAAAGTCAAGTGCAATTTTTATTATTATAAAAAGAGAAAAAGAAATAGTTATGTATCATTTCATATTCAAGAACTTTGGGTGCTTTCAGTTCTCTGTGTCCTGCCTATTTCTCAGGCTTTTTGTAGAGTAGGTGAGAGGGAGTAATAGCAATCAGCAAGATCTAGCATTAAAACCCTTCCTCTTCCCCAAGGTTAATCTGATGGTTAACATTGATCCCCTAGTTGTAATCTAATTATTATAACTTGACTGACACTAGCTTCTTTTATCTGCCTTTATTTAAATTATCTGTGCTATTGCCAGCAGGGAATGGGTCACTATAGGCATAATTTTCAATCATCATAAGCACTGTTGCAAATAATTATTGTACTCCGTTGTTGTTATCATCTTATAAATCATTTTGTGATTATATCTGGGGTGGAAATTATCAAGAAAGAGACAATTTTTTCTCAAGGCAGAAGTCCTAGATTCACATTCATATTCACTAAATAATACAGGCTTCTTAGGCAAGCACTACCACTACCTTTAGGGTTAGGGTCATTTTTTTTAGATAATGATCAAACTAAATTTATTTAAATGCACTAAGAAGAGAAACATCCCTAGCTCTCTGCATCAGGTAGGGTTAGGGAGTTAAATTTTCTTTTATTCACGTTAGGTACTTAGAATTCTTTCCAGTACATTGCTCCATTTATCTAAGACTGTTAGCTAACAAATAAATCCTATGTCCAAGGGCTTTTCTTCTGTTTAGTAATGCACCTACTTGTTTATAATGCAATCAGGGTACAAAGAACAATGAGAGATCCTTTCTGCCTCACTATAAACCTGCCTTCCTCCCCAGACCCTGTTTATTAATAAAGATTATCATTTATATAGCTCTAGTAAGTGTCCAGCATTCTTCTGGGTGTTACATGCCACAGGAAAGCACTTGATCCTCATAACCAGCCTATGAGACAGATACTCTTATTGTCTCCATTTTATAGGCAAGAAAACTGAGACACAGAGAAAGTAAATTAATTGCCCAAAGCTTAGAGATGGAAATAGTGGAGCCTGAATTCAAAGCACATAGTTTGGTGTTGGTATCCACATTCTTCACCATAAATTTTTTTCATTAAATAAGCACGTATAGAATTGGTATCTCCTTAAAGAAAATGATGTTTTAGATATTAAATAATGTGTGAAATATCCCACCCCTGCCACCAGTTAGGATGGTCCAAAATCTCAGTACTGTTAACATATAAGAAGCAATTCCTAAACTGCAATTATGTACATGTTTGACCTAAGTTTAGCCACAAACCACAACGCTGCTATTATCTCTGAGCATCCTCCTTCATGTAAAGATTTATCAAGTCTCATCTTTTCAACTAAAATAATGTGGTTCTCACCTTTCCAGGCATGAGTGGGGCAGGGCTGCAAGTCCTTTGCACATCTTGGTAAGTGGGTTAGCTTCTTAGCTTTAAACAAAACTTCTTAAAAGCAAAGTGGGTCTTTGAGAACTGCAACACTGTCTGGGGCTGTCTTTTCTGCTGAGAACTATATAGAGCCTCTTTTCCAGCCCTCTGTGGTTTGCTGGACCAATCCAGAGCTTTAGAGCAAGTTGCCAGCTGGAGAGCAGCAGCAAGCCTGTATGAGATGGAGACTGGAATCCTTCAGGCGCGGCATGAAACTTTCCTGCTTTATTAGAATAGTGCTGCTGATCCAGCTAGGGAAGTGTGAAGCCCTAAACTGCGCTCAGGCCTTTCACGTCTGACTCTGTAATCTCAGGCTAGCCACAGCTAAGATGTGTGTGGGCTTTCATGAAGAGCAAAGTGCCTCAGGCCCTTTCAGATCTGTCAAAGAGATAGAGGGGGCCTAACTTTCTTTCACTGTGAAAAAAACTGCTTCTTTCAAGGTGGAAGGAAAGTGTACATGAGTGTTTACAATGTGGTGGACACTATGATGCAGGAAATTAGGTTAAATGCTGCGTGGTTTTTCTTACATGAGAAATCCAAAATATAAATAATTTAAAGAGCAAAATAAAAGAAAGATGATAGAAAACAGGGATATAGACTTTGAGGAGATGGAAAGGGCCTCTAGGGATGGAGGGCCATGGGAGGGAGAGGAGAAAAAAGGGAAATAAAAAGGACCAAGATGTGATGTATATTTATATGCAGTGGATCCTCAAGTTACAACCAGCTTGACATACGAACAACGTGGATTATGACCATAATTTTAGTTCTAACTTACAAACAACATATTGAGTTATGACTGAATGCAGGCCACTTGTGTTTCCAGATGGTCTCAGATACAGACTTAACCCTTAAGGAGTTCTGGAAGGAGCATTACAACATCCATTCCTGTATGGGGTTTGTTAGGGAATTGATCATGTTAAAGTATGCTGTGGCGCCGCCTCACAGGCTGCATTCTCCTGGTACATCTTGGCTCCTAAAATGGCCTCATGCCCTTATCTTTGCTCCTCCCCCGCAAGGCCACAGTGGTCCAGGAAGTTGAAACCTGTGTCTGCAGGACTGGGCCCATAAAAGCAATCTGGCCTGTGATAGGTTAAAAGTAGCTCACTCCTCCTAAATAAGCAATAGCCCACCCCCAAACTGATAAAAGGACCTTCCTTTCTTTGTTCTCTTCTCTCTCCTTCTGCTTCTTCTTTCTCTCTCTCTCTCCCTCTGCCTTCCTACCTCCTGCTCGCCTCCCTACAATAAAGATCTCCTGCCGGACCTCTCTGTGTGTGAGTGGCATAATTGGG